ATTTTGGTCAATGACATGAGACAAAGTATATGTGAACTGCTGTATGAAAAGTGAATTTACTCTGTAAATCTTCACCCAAATCCTAATTAAAAAAAAAAAAAATATGTTCGAGATGGATGGTGTTAGTGTTTTCCTAATTAAATATACATTACATATTTTTTTCTCTCTATGTCCTTAGATGAAGAGAATAATACTAGAATAACTACAGTTGAGAGAAAGGAAATGAAAGGAGAAAATGTCACCATTTGGACCTCTTTTGTCCTGGAGGGGTTTTCCAGATATCCAAAGTTAGAGCTAGCTCTCTTTGTCTTCAGCCTCGTAATGTATCTGATAACCCTCTTGGGCAACAGCACTCTTATTTTGATCACTGTCTTAGATTCCCGTCTTCATACTCCCATGTACTGGTTCCTTGGAAACCTCTCTTTCATGGATATCTGTTACACATCTGCTTCGATTCCCACTTTGCTGGTGAACTTACTGTCATCCCAGAAAACCATTACCTTCTCGGGGTGTGCTGTCCAGATGTATCTGTCCCTTGCCATGGGTTCCACGGAGTGCGTGCTCCTGGCTGTGATGGCGTATGACCGTTACGTGGCCATTTGCAATCCTCTGAGATACCCCAGCATCATGAACAGGCAGGTCTGTGTGCAGATGGCCTCTGTCTCCTGGGTGACAGGCTGCCTGACTGCTCTGCTGGAGACCAGCTTTGCCCTGCAGGTGCCCGTCTGTGGTAATGTCGTTGATCACTTCACCTGTGAAATTCTGGCAGTGCTCAAATTAGCTTGCACCAGCTCCCTGCTCCTGGACTTGGTCATGCTGGTGATCAGCGTGCTCCTCCTGCCCATCCCAATGCTCTTAATTTGCGTTTCTTACGTCTTCATCCTTTCCACTATTCTGAGAATCAGCTCAGCCGAGGGAAGAAGCAAAGCTTTTTCTACCTGTGGTGCCCACCTGACTGTGGTCATTTTATATTACGGGGCTGCCCTCTCCATGTACTTAAAACCTTCCTCATCAAACTCACAAGAAATAGACAAAATCATCTCATTGCTTTACGGAGTGCTGACCCCTATGTTGAACCCCATGATTTACAGTTTAAGAAACAAGGAAGTCAAAGATGGTATGAAAAAGTTGCTGGGCAACATACCTTTGTATCAAACGCATGAAAATCTCTTGACTGGGTGCCTTTTACCAGGGATGGGTTCCTGACAGAATTCATCAGAGAAATGCTCAGAACTCTGATTTAAACCTTAGCTGTATAAATTCACAATTCTGAGATATCTGTACCCAAAGTGATTTTTGCTTATGAATAATGATAGATTCCAATTTGCTTTAATTAATATATTCTGTATCTTATGTGTGTGTGTTTTGTGATTGTGAGAAGTACTGGATCATATAGTCATCGTGCGTTTATTCTGAGAGAAAACTTGGATGGATTTAGAATCAGTGAGTGTTAGTGACAGAAGAAACCTGGACATCTCTGCTTTAAATCTTTTCTGATTGAGATGAGAGCACAAAGAAGCAAATGGGAGGATTATCCTTGATTTTGCAAAGGAGCAAACAGAATAAAAGAAAAATCACAGGACTTGCTCAGCATTCCACAATTGTAAAACTGGGACTACAACCCCATTGTTGCAATTTTTTTGGCCACAGTGCATTCCATCACACCATGGTGGCTCCCCAATTACTCTTCCTTGTAGAAAACTCCACATTAAACTCTCTGCCTTCCTGAGACCTTTCCCAGAGATGCCCACTTGCTTTGCCCGTGGCCATCTTTGCTTTTTTAAGCACATAGATACTTAGGCTAATTACACCTCTTTCTTCAGCAGTGGGCCACCCATACACCAAGCAAGTCTTTTTCATATGAGTTTGTCTGTTTTCTTTTTTGGATAATTGACTTCATGAGGGCAAGGATTTCTATTTATTTTGTTCGTATCTTTTATGTTTATAGTAGTCATTCAGTAAGTTAATAAACTTATCAGCTTTAAATCAGTCACCTTGTTTGAGAAGTCAGTACCACTTAAGACATTTAGGAAGAAGAAACAAGGGCAATGAGGCATATTTTTTTTATAACTATCCCACAATGACAGAGGCCATACTTACATTAGTCATTTTTAATCTTTGATTAAAAATATTATTTATTAAAAGTGAAGATTCTGGACCTTCACTCCTAGAGATTATGATTCAGTAGCTTTGGGGTAGGACTCAATCATCTGTATCAATAATAATGGAGATCCCAAGAAATGATGACGTAAGTGGTGAGATTACCATATGTTGGGAAACAATTATTTCCAGTAAAAAGCTACCACCCCAAAAGAAAATTAGCATCCATTCTTCTTTCTCCCTTTTTTCTTTTCTTATTCTATTTTCTCCTTCATTCTTTCTTCTCTCACCGGCCTACTTCTATAGGAAGGGATAGGATTTGCTTAGAGAAAGGTAAACATTTTTGACAAATTTTAAAATATGAAATACTTAAGAAATTTTAGGACTGGATGTTGAGTTTAGGATTATTTAACTCTTAGATCATTCTCTTAGATCTAGGACTTCCATTACATGCTGCTAGATGTGTAACCCACATATGAAGATGTAAGATAATCACACAGTAAGATTTTGTTGATGGAGCAAGCGGACATATTTGATGCTGATTATTGCTGCCAAGAGATTGTTTAGGGGAGATGGAAACAAACCTGAGTAAATGGTTTTGGGGTAATCAGAAGAGTTGATCAGGAAGCATTTATCCTAGAAGAATTATTTTTCTGCTCAGGTACTGTAACTTCCCCAATTCAACTATCACAGTCATTTCCTGGAAGTTTTAGAGTCATTCTGAAGTGCCATTTTATAGTAGGCTATTAGGTTAGAGCTGAATTTATGTAAGCATAGAACTAAATTGTGGGCATCCTGAAATTTGCTGGAATATGTGTGGTACTAAACATAAACAGAAATAACCGGAGCTATAGAAATAGCTACAATCTTTACTTCAAAGGGTCGTCTATGAGAAAGTGAAGACTCAGAAATTGAGTGCTGCTGTTAGGTGCTGTTGAGTCATCTCTGACTCATAGCAAGCAACACTATGTACAGCAGAATAAAACACTGCTTGGTCCTGTGCCAGTCTCACAATCCCTACTATACCTGAGCCCATCACGGTAGCCACCATGTCAATCCATCTTATTCAAGGCCTTCCCCTCTTTTGTTGACCCTCCACTTTACCAAGCATGACATTCTTCTCCAGAGAATGGTCCCTTCTGACAACATGACCAAAGTAGGTGAGACGAAGTCTGGCCATT